AAAGAGCAACATTCTTTTTACAAAGATGCGAAGATGTGCTTTGCAACAGAATCTTTCCTCATTTTTGTAGCTCGACTCTTTTAAACGATAGAGAATCCTAAACGACACACACAAGACTTTCAAAGACTTTTGTAATTCGACGAAAAATTTTGGAGAGTTTCGTCGCGTCTCTCGCAAATGGGAATTCGATGTCGATACAGCGGAAGAAAAAAGATCGTGACTAAAAAATTCGTCTCTCGTCGTCAACCGATTTGATTTTGTCTTTAATCTTTAAATATTTTCACGATACCTTAGATATTTTTCGTTAGATATCCAATTGTACAACTTTTTTTAAAATTATCTTTTTTTTCTCAAATTAATTATAAACAGTAAATAATTGCGTATACAGGCAATAGTAAACGTGTTTTATATACTTAAAAAATTTCTTTTAAATTTATAAATTTTATAATAAAATTTTTAAAATTTTGATACCTACAGAGATTATAAAGACTTAAAATCTAAATATTAAAGCGAGTTTCCTCCTTTCGAAAGTTATCTCGCATGAATCGTCTAGAACAATTTATGCAGATGACACTCGTTACGAGAAGTTACAACTTCCTTGCACTAGCACTTAACAGGCAACAAACATGCCACAACCAAAAGTACTTCAAATAGCTTCGGACGTGCGTTGCAAGCGCAATTATATTGCACAATCACGTCGATACACAAGCTAATAAGAGATAATGATAGTAGTTAATAAAATCAATAATCCGATAGATTTGCCTAAAACATAAAAACCTGAATTTTGTAGATTAAAGTATTGCAATGTAAAGAATCAATCACAAAATATTACTGTAAATCGAAAGCGATCAGACAAATCGAAAATCGAAAAAAACACATGTTGCGAGAATTGCGACAGATTAAAACCAGTTCTATTTCCACGTTGCAATTAATCGACTGTTGCAACTAATCGCACGTGTAATCTACACACTATATCGCGCAATATTCGTGTGATTTATGAGAAAATGTAATTGCCCGTACTAAAATGGTTTGTTGCAAAATATAGTGAGCTTAGCTAAAGTACAAGATAGTTTGAAGAAATTATGGCAGGTAAGTAAAGTTTGCGAACACTCTCGCTTAAAAAATACAAATATAAATTTTTGTACAAAGCTCTCGACAAAAAATGTCGGAATTACATATAAAAATTTCATTTTATTAATATTCATGTGTGTCTCTGCTTTGGAATATAAATAAATTATAATATATTTTATCGCAATATATATAGTAATCATATTAAACACACACATAAATTATTTCGTTATAATTCATCTAACAACATAGTACAAAAATTTACATGCTGATTTATAAACGCCGATTATTTCATCTTTTACTTTAAACGAAAACTAGTTTGTTCGAAGCACGTATGTTTCAACTAGGATAGTAATCAAGTATAAACTGTGCAATTTTGCCTTATACCGCGTAATACCCAACTCTCCTGAGGACCAGAAGACTAATGCCCATCGGTGGATGCCGATCGGTTGGCGCGACGCAATTAATCTAGTCTCCTACAACAATACCGTCCTGCACGCGGCATTCGTTCGTAATCGCTTTCCTGTCTCCGCATTTCCTCAAAACGTAATTAATGTTACCAAGGAAACGGCATAGTAATCAATGATGCAATTGTTCCCTTAATAAAAATAAAAATAGATTGAAACCAGCGGATCGTGACACAAAAATATTGCAGTTGAAATTTTATTCGACAAATGTAATAAAATAAGTGGCATATGTAAGCACAGTTCTATATTTACAATTAAATCCAAATTAAAATTTTAAAAATATTTTATTATATAATAATCTTATCAATTTTTTATAATTATAATATTAGCCTTAAATCTTTATTCGTAAAAACTGCATCTATAATCACATTTGGGTTCAAATTCACGTTCTACGAAATTTGTTTGTTTTATTCCTAAATCTCGAATCCTAATAATTCTAAAGTTTTTTTTATTTTTATCTAAAGTTTATCGATCTCTTTATTTCGTGTGATTTTGTGAACTCTAATGAGTTTTCTATCACTAATAAGATATTAGTTGTTATATCTTTTCTGTCGAATTTGTGATACTGAGAGGCGCAGAGATTTTCTATTGAACGTAACATCCATCGATATTACTTCAATCTATAACTAGGAGTGACAGCGCTACCCACTCTCCGCTGTAACTGTCAGCTGTATCACAAGGATCGATATTACTACGCGGCTAATTGCGTCAAGGGCCCGATTGGAGCGAGGATATTAATCGGCGGCTGTTTATCATCGTCGATGGCACTTGCGAATATATCCAAAATGTACTTTCCACTCCAATGTCGTAAAACAATCCGTGTTAAATACCGTGACGGGCTCCGTAATCCGACGGTAAAGGCTTATCGCGCGCGATCCGCGCTCAAGTTTATCGCGATCATTCAAAGAATACGCCGGCGATAAATCACAGCTGGAATTAACCATAGAAATCGCGATGGCTTACCTGGTCCAATGTTCGGATTTTATTTTGATTTACACGCAGATAAATTCGCGGTTAGTGACGCCGTGTAAACGTAATCGTTGCTTTGTGCCCTCGAGAATAATTGTCCATCATCCTGAGATGCAAAGGAGAGAAAGAGAAAGGAAAAAGGAGAATTCTATTTATTATTCTGGGTTAAATCCCGTCGACGGAATAGATGTACGAGCGAATGTGCTAGTTCAGAAGGGGATCTAAATCATTATTTTATCAGTCCAAATCAAATGATGAATGCGAGTACATCTACAAAGCCACATTCTGATGGAGGAAAATCCTCGATCAAATAGACTCTGATGATAAACTATATTTGAGATGTTTCTATTGCGGAAAAACAATTAATAATCAAAACAATAACAAAAGTAAAACATTAAAGCATAATGTTTACGTTTACTGCGATTAATCAATGTAAAATGTTACTTGTTTTTAAGTGAATAAAAAAATTTAACTAACGAATAAGTTAAAATTCTTATGCAAAAAGACAATGTTAGACATGAGAAGGAAAAATTAGAATTAAGAGGGTTGAATGGTCTATATATATACATCTTGGCAATTTTTACATATTTGGTCTGATATAAATAACGTAAAAGTAAACAGAAAAAAAAGAGTACAAAATTGGACCAATCATGAAAGGGATACGTGAAGTGAGACATATTTCGGGACATTGTCGTAACTGGCATAACGTTCCCGCAAGAGGAAATATGTGTACAAACAAACATATAGACGTATAAAAAATACGAAAGAAAAATACGAGAACGTATGATATCAAAAAAGAAAGACAAGAGAGTAAAAACTCGAATGCCCAGTGATGCTATTTTAGTATATAGAAAACTACGATAGAAAAATTTGAAAAAATAACTCCGAAAGAATTTAGAAATATTTTACGTAATGTTCTTTTGTTAAAATTATATAATCGTTACAGATATTTCCTTAATTCTTATATGGATGCATGTGAGCGTGTCAGAACATTATTAGTAACTTTGTAATTAATTTCAATTATGTGTAACACAAAGTTTATGAAATATGCAATTTACAAATAAATTGTTAAATGTAAACCACATTTTAATTTGTATCAGAAAAACCACGGCACAAATTGAGAGTTAAATATTTACCTCGCAAGAAATATTCGTGGATTCTATTCCGCAAAGAGGTGTAACACATTCAACATAAAATGTTGTAAAGGAACCGACAAGAGGGTTAAATTTACTAACGCGATAGACAAATGGTAAAGGTCAAGTTTACGGGTCGCCTATGCCGAATCAAAATCGAATATAGAGAAGGTACACATCTGGCGTATCCCCGAAGCATTATCCTTGATACAAGGATTCCAACTTTCTTATTTCGAGTCACCCTTGAAATCTAATATTTGCTACACGTTTCTCTCATATAAGAAGAAAGAAAAAAATTAAAAGATAATAGAAACAAATAAATAATGGCAAAATAAATAAATAATAATCAATAGAAGCAACCGGAAACAGAGTAAAAAATTTCAAAGAATTTGTAAATCAGGACGATACGATGGTATAGCATCGAGAGTGTCGAAGGTTCCCAGGAGTGATAAACTCTTCTCTACCAATCGAATCTGATAAAAAAAATCTCATATCGAAATCTAATCTCATATCTAATCTCAATCAAAAACTCATCTGATTCGTGTCTTCTTTATCCACTTTCCATCTGATTCTTTAACGAGTCACATGTGAAAAATCAAAATAATATATACCTCAGATTTGAAAATTCGTACGCAATCGGTAAAAAATATAGCTTCTGTTTACGTTTCTCAAATTAGGATCACAACAACGTCGCGATACCCAGTTTGGGAATTCCTGATGCCGCGTATGAATGACGCAATGAAGCGAGCCGTATAAACGGACCGGCGAACGTAACATGGATATAAAGAGGAAGAAATGTGCGCGTGCACACGTGATGGAGAACGCGAGAACACGGACGGCTTCGTTCGAAGCTAAATCACGCGGTCTCAAGAAGGGGAGGAGAAGACGCGGAAGAACGCGAAGAGGAGTGAAAGAACGAGAGGAGAGGAAAGGGCCGATATAACGAGAGTGCGCAGGCGGCACTCACTGCCACGGTCATTCTCATCGCACTCGCAGCTATTCCGCAGCGGCGCGACGCGACGCGCCGCGACGCTACGATCCTCTTCTCCTCGCTGGGCGCACTCAGTGCGCCGCGAGAGCGCTCCGAAACCGCGTGTTGATCTTACGCCTCCCGCTGGAGCATACAACAAAACCGCGTCGCATTTGCTGGTGAAAAGTTTTGGAGGAAAGTGAGAGTAGTGGCAAGAGTTGCGAACAGGTGTCAACAATTATCATTTACAATCATGTTTATTGTAATAAATTATAGAAAATAATTATAAAAAAAATTATTAATAAGACAACAGTCAAATAATTAATGAATATTATATTATATCAGTAAGAATATTATTAATAAATAATTGCCAGTAAGATTATTAATAATTGATTACTAAAATAAAAATATTCAGAAATGATCAACAGAACTGTTAAAAAGTGATTCTTAATCTTATTTCGAATAAAGTATTGATGACAGCGGATTAATTATCAGTGATTATCACAAAAATTAAGGTTATCAGCAAGAATATTAATAAGTGTGATCAACAGGAAGATTATTAACTAATGCTTATATAAATAATAAATAATTACCAATGAAATAATTAGTGAATAAATAGGAAGAGATCTATTAATAAATAACAATGATATTTAAACTCAAATATGATCAATATCAACAATCAATGATCAGTAGTTTCAGAATAGTTAATTATCGACGAACACACTTGAGCTATTAAAGGGTTATTATCGGTAGGATCGATATTGAGTGTTTATCATGTCACAGCTATATTAATGACAGATAATCATACTCGAGCTTATGTACGCATATACTAAATAATATGTAAAAATGGTACTTAAGCTTATCAATAAATAATTATTAGTAACATGATTAATAAAACAATTTAAAAGTCATTCATAAAATAAGTCAAACCTAATTCAATCAATACGAAAACTGTGACTAATTAATAAAATCTTGAAAATTTAGATTTTACGAGATTTTGAAAAACGGTCGAACTAGTAAGATCATGTGATACAAATCGACATTTAGTATGTTTGTTTGTTAGGGAGAAAAGAAGAAACGAGAAATTAATAAACAATCATTACAGAAATCCTCTGAAGATGAAGGTATAATCAATCCAAAACTTTTTCGAACGGAAAATCCGGTCTTAGTTGCAGTGATCAAAGAAGCTTCGTGAGTGTAATCGTTCGAAGACAACAAACTGTACCTTTTTCTTTCATTTGAAGAAGATAAAGTGGATTCATTCGTGGAGAAACACGCGTATTAATGAATGGCTATCGTGAAGATATCCAAGTCGAGCAAAAGACAATCAGCCAAGAATTTTTTAAATATTAAAATTGATTTAACTTGTGAGACCGTCAAAGAATCCTTGAATAATTAAAAGTTTCTTTTTTCTTATTAAAAAGACTACAATACAACATGGAAAAATTAATGTTTGTAATTAAGAAGTTTTCGTTTTCGAAATATTAACATAAATAATGTGTTTCATAGCTCTTCTTCAAAGTAAAACGTAATCCACTGATGAGCTTTAAAGTCAAATATAAATTTGCAAATTAATTTAATAAAAATTTCTAAAAATTGTTTGACTCGTTAAAGTGCAAAGAATGACCAACGGGTAAAATTGGGTGACTTAAATCGGTGATTGGCGTGTTCATGGACAATATTGAAGCGTAAAGGTCTTTTTTCGGGGAAGACAGAATGACTCATCGATGAATAAGAGACATCGATATTTGGAATTTTCAAGATTACGAATTTACGTAAGAAGAAAATTGTTAGACGCAAGTTTCTCAACAATTCTATCCCGTCGTGGATGGACGAAGTTATGATCGACGTTACGGAAATGACGCGAAGTACATTTCATCTCGCGTGCTCACGAAAACAGACACGCGATTCGCAATGGTAGTGAAAGTGCTAGGTAACGCGATGATAAAGTTCCGACGCAGCGCGACCAACGAGAAGACTAACGACAGGTGATTAAACAGGTGAACCACGATCGAGATTTCATGAGAGATCCGCATCGTGTTCGCCACGAACGACACTCGTCTATTAATAGAGTACAGCGAACAAAGTTTCACGACGTTCTACGCAAATAACACGGCAACTTTGCAAATACAAATACTGTGTAGCGTAAAATCGTAGGAAACTAGAGTTTATCACGAGCGGCGCAAGCAAAATCCGCGAGAATCGCAAGTCATTTTGTTTTCTGTCATATATATCTTAAGTATCTTGTTTCATTTCATTGCTAAATTAGATTTGCTGATGCAATTTTGTCTATATACACATATATATTAATGTATATTGATGTATATTGCATGTACATATTAATGTATATTGCAGAATTTATCATATCAGACTTCATAAAAAATATGACAAAGAAACATAACAAAGGTGAAAAAGTTTTCTGGAAAATCAAAATTCTATTTATATTATCAATTAATCGAGTTGAGTGTTTTGTTGTCAATGGTAGAAATTTAATTGGATATTGTCAACAGATTATTTTAATATATTTTATTCGAAACAGCCTGACTATGCACAATGCCGGTTTAAAATACCATTGTAAATTTATCACTACATTGCGGCATAAACACGGAGTGTGTATGTAGTATAGGAGCTTATTTTCTAAACAAGTCTTTAAGTTCCGTTTTCTCGGAAACTAAAGAACAAAAGTGACTTTAACGCACATACAAACATCAAGCAAAATGTTCAATATATTTAAAATAATTATTGAAGATTAGTTTTGAAAAAATCTACACTAAAAATTTATAACATTTCTAACTTTTATATAATACAAATTGTTAAGTTTATTTTTTATTAAAAAAGTAATCTTTTCACAAAATTTACAGCTTTTATTGCGCAACAATTGCATAATTTAAAAAGTTTTAAAAATTCGTTCAACCAGAAATTTTATTCTAGACAGGAACGTTAGTTCGCATAATGCATCATCGCGCATAAGCCATACGTTCTCTTAATTGTGCAGTGCATTAACCCGTCGAGACAGAAAATGGGTTCCTTTTATACGGGAGCTTCACAATAATGCATCGTGTCTTCCATATTTATTATACTCACTATTTTCGGTAATGTATTTTATGATGCACTACTATAGCATGTTCTACGAGAACGAACAAATACGAATTTGATAAGAAATTACACTCCGTCATTTAATAATTCCAAAATAAAATAGTAGTAAATATAATATAACCTAATACACATAAATGTATAATCGAGACAAACGGCTCGGTTATACGATTCTTTCACGTCATCTTTTCCAACGTATTTGAATAGCGAAACGATTCAACCTTTGAATTAACTCTTAGAGCCCTCGTCAAGCTGTCAACCCCAAAAAATTCTTTTCTCTTGTACTGTGATAGCTGTCTAACGTATATGTATCAAAGCATATTTTTGAAATTATATGAGATTTTGTTTAAAACAAAATAATCACAAAATTACTTTGTAAAAATAATATCACATTTTTATAGATTAAAAGCTTTCCGTGAATTGATCGTAAAACAAAATTATTTGTGATAAACATAATTATTGACAGCAAAGAAAAATTATTAGCGATGAAAAATGAATAGAGTATCGTGAATACATTATAATTTTACTTTTTTGAATTTTAATTATAATTTTATAAAAGAAAATATGCAAATATAATTTTATTACAATCTCATATCCTGCAATCTGCAATATAATGAGATGAGATATAAAAGCTTATTATAGCAAACATTATCAATGACAATTTAAAATGTCACGGACATAAAGTATCATATGTTTTAAATAGAAATTTTCGAAAAAAATGTGATTTAAAAATCCGCAATTTTTCAGAAAATTTATCGCGATATCAAATTATACGACGTAATGAGAAGACATTTGGGAAGGAAGTGTCACAAGAAATTGAATTATGTGACAGCGGAAAGTGAAAATAAAAATGGAAGTAATGAAGAAGGATATATGATTTTACTAAGAAAATCGCGATGTTTCTTTCTTTCAGTTTTATGATCAATTTTGATTATGTCGTAAAATCAAACAGTATGTAAGATAACAGATAGACCGAGATACAGAAACATACAACGGAGAATATACTGCATGAGTAACGCAGCATTAAACCGAACGCAATGGCGCGTATGGTTTCAAGTTCACGATCAAAAGACGAAAAACAATCGTCAGGAGGAAGTCATGTGTTTTATCGCAAATGTAAAGTCGTCCGATAACATGACTCGATAAACACGATTAATTCTAAATCTTCCTTCTTTATACAGGATATTCGGGAACACCGTAGTTTCGACAAAAAAAATGTAAAAATTAAATTTTTCTTTGAAAAATATGTCTAAAATTGTTAGAAACAAAACATTTGTTTATCTATTATCTATTGGCAAAATTAATAAGAAATTCTAGCTTAAAATGTGTTTTAAAACTAAAATTTTCTACCATTCTTTAACGTATGCAGAACTTCTACTTAATTACTTTAATTTTTAATATAATTTATACTGACAATTTATTGTTTGTTAATACAAATTAATTTAAAATAAGTAAGAAAAGAATTTTATTATTTATTTCTATCCTTGTCAAAGTAAACTTTCTAATTTAATGATATCTTGTCACTGTGTGGCAATTCCTAAAATTTCTATTTTTGTATCTAACCTTTTTATATCTGTGATTAAGTTATCCTGCATTTGAAACACTTGATAGATAAAAAAAAGTTAATGTGCTACAATTAGGAATAATCGCCGACGATACAGTCGACCTTTGCAAAACCGTAATAAAACAGGATCTCTAAGGATTCATAGCTTACGAGAGTTATATTTGTACAGACGCTTTCAAATTATTAACCCTTAAAAAAAGTATAAAATCATATTATCATATAAATCTAACAATAGTACAGAGTTGGAACATCTATATGCAAACTGATTTCTATTTCTTTTGTTAAAAGCTTCTAACTATTAGTATCAAATTTCAGCAATAGATTTGACTTTTTACCAAAAAAATTTAAGAAATAATTTACAAAATCTTGTACACAACAATTAAATTTTAAAACATTGACAAATAATCTCTAAGGATATTGTTACGGAGAGATCTCAAGCATAAATATTATAAATGTTTTCTAGATTTAATATTTTTTTATTTAACTTATTGTTTAAAATTCTCATTTAAATCAGCCCCAAATTTGTGCAAAAATGTTAAATTTGTTTTAATACAGTACAGATTAACTATACAACTATTCTTGCATATTTAACTTATAAATGCACTTACCTTTTCTGTTAATACAAAAAAGAACATTTTATAAAATTAATTGGCACCAACCTTTTCTACAAACACAAAAAATACATTTCACGCGAAAAATTACATAAAAATAAAAAGAGAATTTATCACGTTAATCCGAAATGTTGCCGCCATGGTCGTTAGGCGCATCGTTTCTCCAGAATTTCATTAGCATGCTGAACGAAAGCGAGAACCGGTCGTTTTAAACTTCGTAATGATTAATTAAAGTGGATACGATCGTCACGCTTTTGCTAAACTACTATAATTGCATCGACAAAATAGCCGTAAACATAGAGAGAGCAAATTTTAATAAATTATTGAACAAAATTTAACTCTATCAAATTATGACTTTTTTGCATTAGAATTAATGTAATAATGGAAGTACATAATATTAAATGGCAACACAAACTTGTTGAAAATGTTGATTTATTCATTTTATTATCAGCATTATTATCTCATACTTTCATTACGAAATGAGGCAAAAAATATAAATTACTAAATTTCTACAATTTATATTATACAAAATCCTTTAATAATTATTATAAAATGTATTATCTGATTGTATTAAATGATGTATTTGTTGCCTAACTTTAAATTAAATTTTCTAGCAAAATTTTCCAAAAAATATTTCTTAATTAATTTTTAATTAATATGTTTAATATTCGTGTCAATTGGTAATTTTCGCCATAAAAATGTCATTTTACTTGCGAATTCCTTTTGATCAAAATCAGTTTACGATGATCAGTCTGGTAAATCATCTTAATTATTGCTATTAAAGTGGTTGCAAATCGACCTTGCTTTGAAAATTGATATGAAGGCCGATCGTGCCTTACAAAGTAATCCGATCGTGCTTCACCCACTCAGGGTCGATTTAAAGTCACTTTGCACGCAATCATTCCGCCAGATTCACGAAATTATTTTCGTGATATTTTTCTCGCGACATTATCGAAATACGTGAATAAAAAATTACCGCAAATCACGCAAGTAACATACAATATAATGAATTTCAATAAATTTCGACTCACCAGTCGACGCACTGCCGTTGCATCGTCGTTGCATCGCGTTGCATCGTTGCATTACCGCTATTGCATCCTTGCTGTTGTACCGAGTATTGCATTCTCGTCGTTGCATCCTCGCCGAATTGCTTTCTTGTTCCGAAACACTCACACAAACTCGCGATTCGATCGACAAACAATTGCGCGCACTAATCGTTGAGAGGTTAGGACCGTGGCACACTCCCGACACGCACGCGATATATTTCGAACAAACGAGTAACGCAGAACACAATCGACGCGTTGCTCGGACACTCGAGTTAATTGGAAAAGCACGGCTAATTACATGAAAGTTATTTTATCCAACCGCGCATCATTTTACACGACTCATTGCTTATTGCATTTGCACGTATCGAAACGAGTGAACAACGTGAAATACGATGACGCTAATTTTGCGCGGCAAAACTGTCAGCGTGATATTAGGTGCGCGATGCACTTTGATAGGTGTCACCAACTTCGCAATGCAGCTCACGCGTAGCGCTGTTCGCGACATGATATGCTGCGACTACGAAATTTCGGTGTCGAATCGAGGAATTAATCGCTATCGCGTATCAATGCCGATTCACAAATGCATCCTACAATTGCGCATTATTCGATTCTGTACATTCGACAGCGGTTTTCACGCAAAATTTACCTTTTACCGCGATAAAATTCGGAAAGCGATTTATCAATTGTACTGACTTGATACGAGACGTCGCGCCGTAATCTACCCATTGAAAATCGGAATGGCCAAATAACATAAACTGACAATAATTATATCAACACGATATCGACTGTGCAATATATTTCGATAGGCATTGCCAATTTTATAGCGCGGTTCCCGCGTAGCAATGCTCGCGACGCAAGGCATACTGTGTGACCACTAGAATTCGAGCATCGAAACGAGAGATTAATTACTACCGCATACCTCGACTGATGCAAAAACTCGCTATACTCTTGCCGTCTATCAATTTTGTATTTTTAGCACTGACTCACGCGCGAAATTCATCCCTCGTCGCAAAAAATCACGGAGCGATTTAACATACGTGCCGTCTTGATGCGAAAGCGCCACCGGAAAGAGATAAGCATGTGACCACGCTAGTCAGAAGACGCGCTTCAAGTAGTGTCATAAATAAATTTGCCATTATTGTAGTTAATAAGAGTTTAAATAATCTTTAATTAGTACACAGTAAATTAATTTTGCTTTAATTTTTTACGATATTTAAAGTTTAATTTACTTGACGCTTATCAGTGTTTTGTTTGATTAATGACGTAAGATTAACGCTTGCCGCGCGGCAAAAGACGACGCGGTAGCCAATCAACTTATAACTTTTTCATAAGAGCGAAAAACTGATTGGTTATTGCGCGGCAAAAAGCGACGCGGTAGCCAATCAGTTTTTCGCTTTTATGGAAAAGTTGTAAGTTGATTGGCTATCATGTCGTCTTTTTCCGCGTCCTGTCTGCAAGAGCCTTTAACCTGCGTTTCGCGTCGTTTCAGAGTCACGCCAGATTCAGAACAGATATCAGCTAATTAAAAGGGGATGGAAAAACAAATTCCGTTAAATCTATGTGTTTCTCGCATAGTCTTTTCCGTCGAATGTAAATTTTATGCACGAAAGAGTATCGGGAGTGTCAAAGCGAGCAACCGGCGATTGTTGATTATACACGCGATCGTGCAGCGATAATTTTTCGATCGATTTGCATTTTTCCATCATTTTATGAATGAGTGTCCAGAACAACGATGCAAAATGCAACATGAGAAAGCAGAATAGCAATAGCGGTACATCGTGTGGTGAGTAAATTTAACTGTTACATTTACAATAATTGGTGCAATTACCATTTATTTGGTGCGACAACTAGAAGTTGTTAGGTTAGAATAATTGCGCACTGACACGGTACGTTGGTGCGAATTAATTGATTTAATCACCCTGCAGTGTATGACTGTTTTTTGTTTTTTTTTTATAATTGTTTGATCAAATAATTAAAAGCTGTCGGTCATTAAAATATCCATGGAAAATATCCATGTCTCTTTTAAATCCTCATTATATATGAAATATGCAAGCTAAAATAAATAAAAAATACAATTTATTTAATCGTTACGATTTAACTTACGCAAATTTTATGCAATTTATACTACAAAATTCAAATCCAGAAAAGAATCACTCTACAGTCTCAATATTTTTCGCATTAAAATTCAACAATATATAGATAAAATTTTCAAACGCGATAAATCTATTTTTTGACATGCCATTTCCGAAGCGAAACGTGCGACGCGCATCACACATCCCGTTTTTCCAATTCGCGAATATATGAGACAAAATATTTTACGAGTAACACATCGATCTCTCGATGGTGATCTCTGAATCGCGATAGTACCCCGGAGCGACATCCATGATTATAAATCCCACTCTCTATAAGACGCAAGGGAGATTCCGCTCTACTTTCTCTTTCTTCCATATCTGGAGACCGTTCTTTGTAACATCTCAAAGTCGAAAGAAAGATGTAAACTGGAACAAACCTCTTGATCTAACTTCTATGGTCGACCACCGGCGGAAATACTCTAAAGATTGTTGAGCCATACAAAAGATTGTCAGTCTTCGAGCTCTCTTTGAGAAACTTGAATCCTTCTCGAGATCACTCGACGCGATCTCACTTTTTTCTCGGTTTTCTAACTAGCACGATTGTTGCAGAGAAAAAAACTAAGTTTTATAGCAAATGTAATTATTCGCCGCGAATTTTATAGATCGTAATTTCGATATGCTATTTAACGGACATAAATTTTAGTAGTGCATATAATTTTTTTTTAATTATTCATAAATCAAAAATTGTAAAAGGAAAAACGATATTTAATTTCCAATTCCAATTAATTAAAAACTAAATACTTTTATCGCAACTTTAAAAGCAGTATTCATTAAATACAGATTTAACAGCTGATGGAAAAATATAATAGTAATAATAAAAATTACCGGCCTAGTCTTTCTTTTGTAACAAAAAACAAGTTACAAATTTTGAGAATGAATTGTCATTTTCATCAAACTTGGATAATAAAGATAATAGTGTTCTCTCTGATGGCAGGCAAGAAATTTCGTAGTGTGATTTAATCGAAAAAACTTTCAATTGCACTATTTGCCGCTTTGGAAGAGCTTTCATCGCAATCACACTCAAGTTATTCATTGCACATTTACGTAATTCGACCAAATTGCTCGATGAGTATCCCCAACGAACGTTTGAAATACCCGGAAGGTAGAACACATCCTCGCAAGTCTAAAACCACAATTTGCTGCTGGCTATTGAAAAGCACGTATATAGCACATTTCTGAGTATAGTTTGATTAATTATAGCCTGTCCAATTAAATATAGGAGGAAAAGAGGCAGAGAAAATATTTGCGAAATTATACATATAAGTTTAATTTAAGGAAAGATAATGAAAGAAATTTTAACTTGAAAAAATGTTCTTGAAAACAAGAATATATTTAATGAAAAATAGAATAGGCAAAGCAAAAAATTAAAAACACAAGAAACAAGAATTGAAATAATTAACTTATGTATATTTTATATTCCAATTCTATAAAATTTTCTTAAAATCTTACGATCTAAATTAATTTTCACAAATAAGCAAATCAAGAGCTTCATATTTATTTTGATTCTCTCAGCGTGACCTAATAATAAATAACTTAATGTTATCTGAGAAATTTTATAGAGATTCCATTAATATAATATGCTAATTAGAATTACACTGCTTCTCGAATATTTGGAGAACTATGCGAGAGATTCCCGCAAAGCATTCAAAATTGTTGCAGCAATTTATGTTCATAATTAGTATTATGATCCTTTGCAGTTTAATGTGGACTATATCTACATGCAAATTGCGAACATAAATTGCTACATTTTAAATTATTCTCTTATTGTTTAAAATTTTTAATATTAAACTCATAATTTGTCTTCTTTTTTTCAGAAGCATGCCAGATATTTTATTTATGTTAATAAGATCGCTTATTAACATAGAATCAATTTTAAAGATTACACAAACCAATTTGTTTATTTTCGCAAGTAAAACGAATTCCTATCTGAAGCATATAGATGAGTCGATAAACATTGTCGTATAATATTCTGTTTATCGCTAATAATTTCTCTGCATGTCGCGTTTATTTCTATATATATAATGCATGCATTCTCGCAACAAAGTAATTGAGTTTTGTCGCCATTGTGCTGAATAACGTCCATAAATTTTTTGTATTGCGTCCGTAACTCATAACGTCATCGAACAATGCAGCTGATAATTTTATCCGTAATAAATGACGCGACATATGATGGTGATTATATTATTTATAGTAACGGATGCAGTTTTATCTTCTTTTACCGTTTTGCTGACAGGACAATTAACAATACCGTTCAATGCATTGAAATGCGTTATTGTCAATTTTATCATTAATTTATATTATAATTGAATATGTGCAATAATAGTATCTATTAACTTATTATTTTATCAATAAAACTCGTTACTACTGAATAGAAATATAATATTTTCGAGAGAGAAATCGGTAAAATTTTAATTGTTGAAATTAGAGTTTCTGCAAGGAATGCGTAACTCTTTGACATTTTACGGTCACAAAAGGCGACCATTTTCCCAGCACTCATCAATAACACGAATATCTACTCACCAATAATTACATTTTAGCTTTTGCTAATTTTTTTTATATTGAGCTTTCAAATCCAAGATTGTTTGACATTTTCTTTGACTCTATACAGCGCATGACGTGTTTGTCAATCGTAAGCATTTGTGTATCTGGCATTCCGCAATGTGCTCTCCGCGATGTCACTTCTGCGGTTTGCACGATAACCAATTCAATTATACTGTCACTGCGTCACTACAACGAGATATTTGTTCTCCCAATAATTGATAAAGTTGATCAAATCGCGTGGAATTAATTGTATGCCTCTGATATCATTTGATACACGCGGTAGGAATAATTTATGTTTATCGACAAGAGAACAGGATAGTATTTCGATTCTACACTGGAATCAATGTCTTTAGAAGTAACCAAGTTACACGGACTATCCTTGTTGTCAAATATGTAAGCTACACCGTGTACACAGAGAATAATAATGCATCTCAGGCACTTGCAAACTGTTCAATATGGTTCGATCACCTTTAACATTTTGAACTATAGCTTACATATTGATTGTTGATAGTTATATGTAGAGATTTGCGAAGAGAGACTAAAACAATCTGAAATAATGTTTTTAGTCTAACAAGTTTCATAATTCTGCAATGTAAAAAATTTTAGTAAATCAGATATCGAAATTGTAAGTAAACAGCCAAATTCGCAATTAATTTCAAGTAATCTTTACTTTAACATTATGAGATTTGAGGCTCAATTTAGAAGATATTAAATATTCAAGATAAACAAAATTTTGTTCATTCAAAAACTTGCGATATTCGCAACTAAATATCTCGAAATCAAGCCGCAGAGATTTGTCAAAGAACTTATTTCAAAGCTATAATATTCCAAAGCTATCGGAGGATAATTTATATATATTATGTACATATTTCCACGTATCCCATGTATATCGATTTTCATAATTCAACCTGCCCGCAGTCTCTTTGACTCGCTTTATTGACGATAAAATGTGCTTTCGCCAGAGGCGATGATAATTACAATGAAATAGCGCCGCGGCATGTAGTATGTACGTTAATGCAAATGCATTGTAGCACGCACTGCTAAATCCCTATTATCCCAATCGCGCATGGAATAATCAACATTGAACGCATAAATTCGCCGTATTGG